AAAACCGGAAATCTTTTGAGGTGGCCCTCTCCAAACAAAGTCGGCTGCATCAATTTCGAAACTATGGCATTGAACCACAAAGTTTTGGCCAAGCTGCTACGGATCTGGCTGCCGCAGATCGATGAACTACGGTCGGTGAACGTCTATGCCTGCAGACAGGAGGTCGGATCTTTAAGAGGGATATCCTTTATCAGAGTAAATGTGTTATTGCTTCCCAACCTTAAAGTTTGAATGTTATCCCTGCAGATCGCGACCTTTCGGGCCGACTTGTCACTGCCGCAAGATGCCGTGAAAGTGGGATGTGATGCTAGCAGCCTGAAGAACTTTATGTCCTACATTGTCAAGCGACACGATGGATCAGAGCGACGAGTGCACGGGTTGCAATATTAAAGGGTTTCAGTTTCTGAGGGTCAGGGCTTTGATTGAGACGCTTAGGTTTACCCGCGAGTGATTGGCGCTTTTTCCGGGTTAGGGAATACCGGGTGTGCTTTTCGGATTGCTTCAACTTATATTTGGTGGATAGTCTGTGAGTACGATGGATACAGAGATTAAGCTTTAGGTTTCGTGGTAGGGAAATTAGGCTTTGGGGTTCTGGGTGTCGACTGATGATTATAGGATTACTATTTGACCTGTGCTCCTAGATAAGTTGTACTTTAAGTAAACCAATCCTGCACCAGTTGTTATTCTCGAGGTTTGGGTTTGAAGAATAGGTCCGCTGGCTCTGTAATACGGTTCACAAACCCTAATGTTACAATTCCTGTACAGCCGCACGGTTCCCAGGACCCCCAGGTCGCAAGCCTGTTCCAGATCGTGGGCGAGTTTTTTGACGTGGTGATGCAGCCAGCGGGCGAGGAGCCGAAGGAAGAAGATATCCGGTCGGAGGATGGGGATTGTCAGCTTGTTCCAGCTGAGGAACCGGATGATGAGGATTTGGATGATGCCGAATTGGCGGCAGCTTTGGGTGCGAAGCAGGCCAGCAAGGCTTCATGTCCTAGAGGTTCGGTGGAATCCTTGCATACCGGGTTGACCTCGGACCTCGAGAAGGTCAAGATGACGGAAAGTCCTGGGGTGCAGATTGTGACTCCTCCAGCTCATGTGTTGGCGATGGCAGAGAAACAACAGAAGATACAGACTCTGAAGTATCCTGGTGTGTTGGAGTGTTTAATTCGCCTTTAGGATAGGGTCGGTTATTTTGCCATGAGCAGTTGTCTTAGGCAAGAGATTGAGAAGAGGAAGAGATCTTTGCAGTGTGCCGGGCCGTGGAAACAACAGAAGACGGCCCCAGCAGAGCAGGAGACTCAGGTCACGGACTTGTCTCCTGTGGCGAAGTGCCTACAGGACGAGTTTGATGCAGCTGCAGTGCCGGGGTCGCCGAAGGCTTCAGGTGCAAGTGCATCGAAGGTTGATCCGGATCTTGACGAGTCTGATCTTTTCAATGCCCAGCCCACGGAGTTCCTCACACGTGAGTCGCAGTTTGCAGCCAAGGGCAAGCAGGAGCAAGAGGAGGAAGAGGATGATGATGATGA